TGTATGCCTCGTGGTCTAGGTCAACCAGCGCCGCCATACACCACGGAGCGGGGGTCAACTGCTAAGCCACGCCTACCCCCGCTATTTAAGACCTGACCTCGTGGTGATCTGTCTCTCCTTCTACCTACACCAACCAGCCAGCAACACCTCCTCCGCCTGCCTGGCGGTCCTCGCTCCTCCTCCGCCTGCCTGGCGGTCCTCTCTCCCGCTGGCGAGCATGGCGACCCACAAGCTGTCCTTCTCTGAGCGTCCTCACCAACCAGCTCTCTCTACATCACGCTTGTAAACACGCTGCCACTTCCCAGCACCAAGCTGCATTGTACATCCAATACAACATGTGTACAGAGAGCACATTGTGAGTTTCCTTTCTCCATCCCATCCTGAGTGTGAACCCAAACATCTCATACCCCACAAAGTCTTTAAAAGTTTGTTTTCATACTGTACATGTATAAGCATACCCCAGATCGTGTTAAGTGTATAAATTTCAATTGCCCTGGCATTGATTACATTCAATGAACAACTTCGATATATTATTGTGAATGAAAAATAGATATTATATAGTAATATTTTCATCGGTACTGAATAAAACATTTTGTATTTTGTTCAGCTATTTGTGTTGTAAGCGACCTGAGTTGTAAACCCTCCGCGGGTAGGAGTGGCCGTTACGGCTTTGGTGTAGATGTGTTTGATTTTTTAGAAGATGACGAGAAAACAGTTGAAGATTTGCCAGACATTCAAGACGTTGATGAGGGTAAAGGTAATATTAACAATCAAACCAAAACGACAATGCACAGAACCTAAGGTAACCTCACCTCACCTACCTTACCTCAACCTAACTCCTAACCTGTACTGTACAGTGTTGTTTCTTTTGGTAAATTTGCATTAGTGCACACAACTCTTTAACAGGCATTTTACCATCATCAGTAGCCTTCACTAAAACATCAAATGTTTTGTTGAGATAATAAGTTTTAAACATCGTATTCACTACTTGATCCATAGGCTGAATGAGGGATGTTGTATTCGGTGGTAGATACACAACTCGAATGTTTTCACAAAGGTCTTGAATTGAAGGTGGATGTCCGGGGGCATTATCCACTTCCATTAATATTCTAAAAGAAAGATTCTCACGTTTACAATATTCATGTAACTCATCTTTCAGCTTTGACACAACATAGTCACAGAAAAGATTACCAGTAATCCACCCTTTGTTATTTGAAAATAAATGAACTGGTAAGAGATGCCTAAAATAACCCTTGAAAGCACGTGGGTTTGTGGAGTGGTACACCATCACTGGTTTCAATTTGCAGTCGCCTTCAGCATTACCTCCTACCAATAAGGTATAACAATCCTTAGTGGCCTTGAAGCCTTGTACTGCTTTTTCCTCGCGAGAGATATACGTTCGTGCTGGCATTCTCTTCTAAAATAGAGCAGTTTCATACAGATTGAAAATCTGTTTGCAGAGTAGCCTCCTTCCTCAATAATATCCTTCAGAGTCCCGACGAACTGCTTGGTCGCCAGGACATCGGCAGATGCAGCCTCCCCACTCATCTTAATGTTGTGATATGCATATCTTCGCTTGAAGTTAGCGAACCGACCAGAACTAGCAGTGAATGTTTTCACAGGGCCTTCTTCATCCTTCTGTAGTTCTTCATATATTGCACGTGCTTTTGCCTGGACTAGCAACATGCTGACTGGTACGTTGCGCTGATTTTGATCTTCAATCCACGAACTCTGCATCCTTTCCATGTGCTCCATTAGAGAACTCCGACCATAAGAGATTTTCGTTGCACTAGCTGATGTCCCTGATTGAGCACTTTTCTTTATCTTCTCAGCATTGTCTTTAACAGTGCTCTCACTTAAACCAAGCATGCAGCCCACATCCGACACACGCTTTCCACTCTGAAGGCGAGTGATCACATCTAAGACGCCATTGCGATTGTTTTTCTTGCCTTTTTATATTAGGCTCACCAGAGGAGGCAGATGGACGTTTTCCAGACATGCTCAATAGGGAAAAAGTGTTTAATACTAAAAGATACGTGATAAACACACAAACAAGTAGTGCTGAAATGAACTGAGAAAGCGGGAGACGGGAAGCTTGATGTAAACACTAAAGAGCTGGACATCGTCTCAGTTATTGTACAGAACTGTATACAGTACTTCATTATGATTAGTAGTAATAATCATTATTATTACATTATTATAATAATGATTATTATAATGAATGATAACTATATTAAAATCGTTGATGTTGATATGAATGTGACTTTACAGTAATACTAACAAGCACCTTACCAGCCATCACATGCGACTCCGCTGCCAGGCGAATACGCGACAAATTTAAACCGTGTTATTTAAAAAATAATTGTGTGTGAATTAGGAACTGGTATTAATTGAAGAAACGTGTTATTCCAAAAACGCTTAAATCAAATGCATGTAAAACGAGAGATGGGTGTACTCCAGGTGGGGAAGCACCTCGCTCTTGAAGATCGATACGAGGGATGGGCCGTCTAGATATCTGAAAGACCTGCTTATAAGACCTGATAATTTAGTTGCTTGGTTCACCTTTTCACAATGGCTTGAGATTTTCAGCTCATTGTCAACATACTCACCCGGGTCTTTTTCACATTGTCTCAATTAATGCAGTTTCTTCGTCCCATTGGGACATATGATACACCTGCTTACCGTTGGTACGTCATATGTTCACCCTAAGCGGGGAGGGGAGAGTGGAGGATCTCAGCCTTTCTGAGCTGTCTCACATCTGTAGTGAAGCAATTGACAAATTTCTTTGACCAACACCTAAATGGCAATACAGTATTTTTTTTTTTGGTTGTAATTTATATATTTTTATTTTATTTTTATTTTTATTTTTTATTGAGGAATAGCCCACCCAGGCACAGGTTATCAACCCACAATGGGACCAAGGGGGCCAAAAAATGAGAGTAAAAACTTAAAGTAGAAACGAAAAAGATTACTGTACAGTATAGTCTTGATTTACGCGGATTTGGTTTACGTGTTTGTTCATTTATGCGGCACCTTGCCAGACCGACAATTTTTATTTACGTGGTTCATTCCATCATTTACGCGGGAAGCGGCTCGGGCAGGGTGTGCACAAGGTTGCCCAGTCAACAAAACATTACCGAGTTCCTCACCCGCCACCCACCACAGCCAGCCCAAGTCAGTGATAGTGATAGTGAGGAAATGGACTTTGAGGGGTTTGACAAAGAGGCCCTGCAAGCCTCTGTGGTGGATAGTGATACAGGTGATACAAGTGATACAGGTGAGGGCCAATAATCTGCCCTCTGCCTCAGAACCAACCCCAATCCCCTTGTACCCAGCCATCTCTTCTACTAAGTAAGTGTTAAAAAGCCTAATATTATTGATATTTCTCTTAAATATTAATTGTGTGCATACCATCATAAAATTAAGATGCTATTTTTACTACATCGTACGTAACGTATTGTGTCTGGGTGAAGTATAATTTGTTTATTTACTGAAGATATTTGTTTTTACCTCATAAAATTCATAGAAATTACCCGGCCAGAATATAATTTACATTGCTGGAATTCTTATAAGATAGTGATTAATTTGAATATAAACAAGCATTAGACATACAAATTTTAGATCTAATTTAAGAATTTTATTAGAGAGCAAAAATTTTATCTTTTGTGCAAAATATATGACATTTATATTCAAATTATTCTCAGTCTTGGAAGGAATCCAGCAATGTCAATTATATTCTCCTAAACATAGTCTGAGGTATTATTTATTATTAAACCTAAAATCCTAGTCTTTTCTCCCAAACATTTCTCAGGGAGGGAGGAGCCAGCGAGCATGGGAAGAGGGGGGGTTGAGTAAGGTTGCCATACGTCCGTATTTTCCTGGACATGTCCTCCATTTAGGTCTCGAAATCTTCATCCGGAAGGAATTTTTAAAATTCTTCAAAAGTCCGGAATTTCAGCTTCCATCATTTTCTCCATGGAAAGAAACATGAACAGTAATGACGAGAGAGAGAGAGACTGTGAGAGAGGGGAGGTGGAAACAGTAGAGATCTTGTTCAGTTTTTGTCAGCTGATAAGTCACCTGTACACCTGTCACCTGTACGGTGTTGTCAACTTAGCTGCTAGCAGTTTTTGGGGTAACCTGTAGTGCCATGTACTGCTTTTCCTTGTTCTTCAGCCACGCGCATTATTAAAAAAAAAAATTGTATTTAGTGCTATTACAGCCATAAATGAAATGTTGAAAGTATACCATTTTTTTCTTATGCCTCTTTTTACACTGTAGCATTTGTTTTTCTTGTCCTGCATTTAAGGCATTTTAGCAATTTTCAACCATAATCTAGCCACTTTCGCTATATTATTTACGCGTGCCGACGACTATGACGGTGACCGGTGGTTGGCCAGTCTTTAACCTGCAGTGACAGTGTTTGATCTTAGTCTTTGTTGTGGGTTTGTCGCTTGGTGCCACAGCTAGTGCTTACGATTTGATGTACTTTTCCAGAGCATAAAACGGTCACGGCTGCATCAAGGTTACATAGCGCTAAAGTGTGTGCCAGGTGGGGGGGGGAGCACATGATGTCTTCGGGAACGTCCTCTTTTTTGAATGTTCAGATATGGCAACCCTAGGGTTGAGTCCATTATTTGAATGGACATTAGCTGGCGACTGTATTTCTCGTAAATATTGTGTATGCATACCATCATAAAATTAAGATGTCATTTTTAGTACAATGTACTATTGTGTCGGAAAAAGTGTAGTTTGGGGGGTCGGCCCAGTCTCTATTTCAATTAATCCTATACAGTATGTTCTGTTATTTCGTTTATGCGTTTCTCGTTTTACGCGGACCTCCACGGGTTCAATTGACCGCGTAAATGAAGACTATACTGTGTATTAATCTACACCATGAAGATGGTATAATATTTATTTTTTTGTCATATATATTATTTTAAGAAAACTATGGATACAGGAGAAAACTACATTTGTCTTAAGGGTAAAAAAAGATAGTATTGTTCAACGGTACTGTATTTCCAATTATTGTACACGATTGCAGTGTCGTGTACATGCACACAACACCTACCATATATTATCATAACTAAAACATGCCCTCTATCAAAAAAATATTGTTTTGATCATGACATTTTTCACAATGAAATGATGAGGTGATGATAATGATATTTTTCATTTCTTGTTTCCAATTGGTACAGGTCATTCAATTCTTTATATTCTAATAAAACTTAGTACAGTACTATATTGTACAAGAAAGAAATCAAAATGTTAATAACTGCAATATTTATAACAATAATTATTGTCCTCAGGGGGTTCCAACATAAGGTGCATTAACTGAGAACTTAGATAACATTGCAGTTATCACCATCTTTTGAAAAAGTAACTAATAATGTAAAAAATTAACACTGCTGTACTGTCATAGAAGGAACATGAGTGTTTCAAGAGTGACTATGGATGACTCCAGTTATACAGTTATGATATGCATTTCCTTTTAATGGCAGGCATCTTCCAATTTAAATTAGGACTTATTATTACCAAAGAAAGATAATCTTAACTTGAAAACAATGTATGAATGTGTAACTAATTATAATGAATATTTACAAATGCTGAATTTATTTATAATAAAGTTGCATGTGCTAGATGTGTTACAAGATACAACACGGTTTGTTGTACCCTGTATTCCTTTCAAATTCCTAATGGCATAACAAAATTCCTTCTTCCGTTCATCCTAATAAAAGTACTGTATTTGATAACATCAGTAATATTGCAATCGTGATATAAAGTAGCTTTGTGCAATTAATACAATTATAAACTTTAAAAGTACACAATAATAACTGTTGGTAAGATTATGATGGAATAACCAAAGCTATAGTGACATGTCCACCAGTTATTAATCTACATACAATGTACAGTAGCTAAAAAAATAGTATCTGACAGGTTGGGTCCGATGACTTCCAAAATTATACGTTAAACTCGTGATGTTTCGGGAGGGTTGGTATGCATGTCTTCACCCACTGACATTCCGTATCCAATACAGGTGGTGAGTTGGCGTATAAGAATAAAATAAATGTTTAAGTGATTACTATCACATAGTATAAGGAGATGACATGATATCCCAGTATCTATCATCCATGGTCTCATATTGTTTCACACAGAGTATACACAGATAATTTTTTTAGCTACTGTACATGGTAGCTGACTTATTAATTCCAAAACACGGCAAGCTTACTCTTGGCTATTCTTGATCATAAGTGCATGCTGTTATTTGTACTATAAAAAAATGTCTGTGGTAATAAATATAGATAGCCCAAAATGGACAGAAATGAGAGTTTCCTCTGAAACCTTAATTTACAGACAACACTTAACTTGGATATCACACAAGAACCTCATCTCTGTATGCAACAACAACTGCCCATAATAGTCTGCACCATCATTGGTTTTGTCTGTAATGTCCATTATGTAATGTACAATACAGTACATGAAAATTGTAAACTCAATATTATACACTTGTAACCATAAGTAAATTTGTGGAACCAAAAGTCAGATACTGCATGTGTTAAGCCCATCTACGTACACAGATTATTACTATGGTTGGCCATTCATCATCATTGTCTTTCTCTTTGTGAGTTTAATTTTTCACAAACTACTGGTTCTGTTTTGCCGAGACATTTTGAAATGTTCCTTGGATGGTCCTCTTTTCCAGACATCCTGGTGAATGTTGAGCCTCTTGCATTGACTGGATGGGATGTAGGAAAGTACATTCTGAAGGTTTTTCCTTTGCTCAGAAAAAAAGACATTTACTGTAACTTAAAGGTCACATTTTGTTTAGCTTGGAAAGTGAGGAAGTTGTTAATATATTCTTGATCATGAACACTGATGATGATGATATATATGTACTGTAGTATACTTGGGAGTCCCAAACTTACTAACGCTCGCTGATACGAACAGGGTTAAACTTGAAATTTACAGTATTTTATTTACCTGATGATTTATTTTTTACTTTCATTTACTGTATTTTGTCATTCTATTTCTTCTTTTGTCTTAAATAAAGTGAATTTAGATGTATATAAGGACTTAGGGTATGATATAGTGCGATTTTAAACATTGTTCTGTAAATACAGTTTGCACGTAGCATGTGTTCTGACTTACATATGAATCCGATTTAAGAATGTCCTCGGGAATAGAACCCGTTCATAACCCGGGGACCCCCTGTATTGTGTTACTCCTTCCTGTGAGTGAGATATGATGATAATGATGTGAAAATTACATTCTTATGAGTTTATGAATCTTAACATAAATTACTATATGTTAAAGGACATATTCCGGCTGTAAATACACTTGACTAGACGGAAACAGGAATGAATATCTAGAAATTAAACTAAATTTCATTATGATTAGCCTTAAGGCTCCATTCATTATCTCTGAAACACAGATGTTAAGAACACTTACTGGAGATTTCTAATGACTTGAAAAATCTAAACCACATTGTCACAAAATGTGGACACTGATATACAACACCAGGAATCACCACAGAAGAAAATTAAGTGTGGAAACAGTGTTACTGCTTAATACACCGACATGACAGCTGGTACCTCAGATATCAGTACATTACTGTATAAGAAGTAATACCATTTGCTGTCACCAGGAAAACTGAAAAATGCATTAAATATATGAGTAATTTTTCACTGACTTGCCAATTTTGAATTATGGTAAATGAAAATTTTACTATGGCACCAAAAATTGAATCATGGCAGAATGATGGCAGCCCCACATGCTTGTGGTGATCCCTGTAACACCCACTGATAACTGAGGTTGCCTTCCTCTAATGTCAGATCATATTACAGTACTGTATTTGTTGCCTACTTGCTAAATGGTACAGTAGTAGCACTGTAATCTTACATGACACTTATTTGGTACAATATTAATAATGAGATTTGCTCAACACCAGATTAAAATGTTTTCTTTTGTAGCTGCTGTAGATGACAGATTCTAAAACTATTTATATAATTTTGGTGAAACAATAACTATCATAAATGTCATGTTCTGAGAAAATTTGAGGATTATTAGTTAATGCTGTACCTGCAGTGGGAACTTGAGTAATATTTTGCAGATTAAAACTGCCCATTACTGTAAAAATGATTTTTTTAAATTTAATATATTACTGTACAATACATTATAAGTGGTTATTAAATTTTGCAAAAACTATGGTGTACAGTGTGTGTGTGTGTGTGTGTGTGTGTGTGTGTGTGTGTGTGTGTGTACAAATTACTTTCACAGTTTAACCAACTTGTTTCGTCACCTTTGTTGTGCATCACTCACTGTACCGTACTGTATATCTACCTCCAGTTCTTACCACCAATGTCCTTTGAGAAAATACTGTATTCCTGACAAAAAAATTACTACTGTTGTTCATACAATTGTACTTTACATATCACTGTTGTATGCAGTAGTGTCAAAACAGTACTGCATAGGCAATACACCTGACATGCAGTACACATGTACTGTACAGTATTTGGCAAATGGGATCATTACAAAAATATAATTGAACTGGTTTCATTTGTCCATACTGTTCTAGGACGAGCTGGCCTCCCATTATACTCTGCAACATTTCATAGTAACATCACAGACAATGCAGCCACAGAAAAAAAAATTTACTTGAAAAAATTTCATCAAAGCTGCAAAATATTGCATTAATCCTATGACATAAAGCATACATCTTCCCATATCACACACTTTAGGAAGGAAGCTCCGGTAATGACTGTACTGTGTCAAAATGTCCAACTATCTCTTCACAACTTTGTATTTTCAACATATGTTCAACATCATATTCAATATATATATATATATATATATATATATATATATATATATATATATATATATATATATATATATATATATATATATATATATATATATATATATATATATATATATATATATATATAAAGCAGAAAATATGTTCACCATACAGAAATGGAAGCAGACATCAATATCTTTTGTGAACATGAATAAAATGACATTACAGCACATAACTGGCTCCTTCTTGGACCATTTGCTCAACAACTTGTTTAGTTATTATGGCATGGCATCACAACATTTAATTATGTATCAAATTTAATGATAATATATTTTATACAGTATCGGCCTTGAAGAATTATAAGATACAGGTGTACCCCGATAACTGATGCTTATAGGGACCGGGTAAAGTCATTGGTCAATGAATCAACGGTTATTGAAACAATTAATCCCATAAGAACATAACAAATTCAGGGGGTTAAGGACCGGCCACCCTCCCAAAACTCCCATATTACCCTTGATATATCTGTACTGCTCACTGTCAACCAAGAATATAAAGCAAGCACAATAAGCACTAAAACATAAACTGTTACCTGTGTTGAGGACAGTCTAAGGTTGCACATTAAAGTTTACCACTCTTTGTTGCTCCATCACCACTCTTTATAACATCACATCAAGCTGCCCAGCACAAGAGGAACTATCACTGGGACACTTATGCATGGTTGAGTAACACACTAAGTCAGAAATAACGAAAATACACAGACACATACCCGGTAGTAAGTGTAAACAAGAGCAAAGATGGCAGGAATGAGTCAGGGAAGTGTGCAGAGCTCTCAGGTGGCAAGAATTTGCATCACGCCACCACCCGTCAAACTCAAAACGGCTCTGCCATTCCTCTCCTGATCGTCGGATGTCTGGCTATCAAAAAGACTTGTGGGGTATTTCCCCTTTATGTACTCATCGGTTATACGAATCAGCTATCAACAGGACATCGGTTTTTGGGGTACACCTGTAATTCCTAGATGAAGAAACACATCTAATGTTCCCTGTTGAGTTGCTTACAGCATATTTATAACCTGGCTGGTAAAATAATTTCTTTCTCTTCATATCCCTCATGAAGGAGTACAATACTGTACTATGCCAGTTCAAGGAGACAAACCATGTAACATTTTGACTCGGACACAACTTCCAACACCGCACATAAAGCAGTGCTTAAAAATGCTTTTCACTGTACACCTTCATACAGTATAAGTTCACAATGCAGCACATGTACAACCTGCAGATATCTACTGTACTGTATGTATATACATATTTTGTGTGCCTATCCTAAGTGTCATTTAGTGTAGGATTTGGTATGTTATAATTAGGTGAGGAGCTTTCCACAGCTTCAGACACTGTTGGCTCCATACGCTGTTTGTTTGAAGACTGCGGTAATCTCGTCAATGGTTCGGCCTTTAGTCTCGGGCACCTTAAACCAGGTGAAGAGGATGAAGCCGATCAAAAGCACCACAAAGATCAGGAACACATAGGGACCCGCCAGCTGTTGGGACAAAACACAATTTTAGCTTAATATTCAGTACAGGTGAAAATAATCTTTTGTTGCATTACATATTCAGTGTAACTACAAATGATCTTCCTGATAACAAATATTTATTATAAAGAAACTAACACTGGTAGAACAAAATGTAACCTACACAATTACAAAGCAATATATATATACAGTAGTACCCCGCTTAACGCGGTCAATTGAACCCACAGGGTACCGCGTTAAGTGAAAACCGCGTTAAGTGAACAACAGAACATATGGGATTAATTCCAATAGAGACTGGCCCGACCCCCAAACTCCACTTTTTGACGACACACAACTATGTTGTAGTAAAAATTTTATCTTAACTTTATGATGGTATGCACACACAATTAATAATTAAGAGAAATATCAATAATATTAGGTTTTTTAACACTTGCATTAGTAGAAAAGATGGCTGGGCACACGGGGATGGGGGGTTGGTTCCGAGGCAGAGGGCAGATTATTGGCCCTCACCTGTATCACTTGTATCAATTGTATCACTATCCACCACAGAGGCTTGCAGGGCCTCTTTGTCAAACCCCTCAAAGGCCATATAAGTCCATATCCTCACTATAATTATCACTATCACTGACTTGGGCCGGCTGTGGTGGGTGGCGGGTGAAGAACTCGGTAATGTTTTGATGACTGGGCGACCTTGTGCGCACCGTGCTCGCGCCGCTCTCCGCGTAAAAGGGTACACACACCGCGGAAAGTGAGCATTCCGGTTTCGGCAGGGTACCGCGTAAACGTGGAAACGCGTAAAGTGGGACAGCGTAAAGCGAGGGTTGACTGTATATATATATATATACTGTATATTTTTTATTTTTTTTTTATGATATTTCTGCAAACATCAAAATAGATATTCTGTTTCTCCTCCATACATTTTCTAGTACTGGATATCGACATTAACTTCAAGAACAGCATTTTGTATCCTGTTCTTCAACTGCTCCAAAAATGTTGGCATTGGTGGAACAAACAATTAACATTTAACATTACCCCAAATGTAAAAGTCGAGGGGAGTAAGGTCAAGTGAACGAGGTGGCCAATTAATGGGTCCTATCCAATGGTTGGGTATTTGTTTATTCAGATACTTTTTCACTGCATTATCAAAATGTAGATTGCAAAAAAAAAAAAACTTTAGTCATTGATTTGTAATCATGTATGTTACTTTTTGTTCTAACATTGTTAGTTTCTTTGTAATAAATATTTGAAATGAGGAAGATCATTCGTAGTCACCCTGTATACTGTATTGTAGTGATTATTATTATTTCTCAGTGTTTGTTGAATTACTTTACAAGGTCAAGTCAGAAGATAATTATGAATATTATAAAGCTTACTTCATGAAGTGGTAAGAATCCAAGTCCAACTAAGAAGGCTGCTGTCCAGTTAATTGCAACAGCGATGGATGAAGCAGTGGGACGAGCATTCTGGGCAAAGAGCTCAGTGACGAAGAACCATGGGATGGATCCAGGACCAGTTGCAAACATCACCACAAAGAAGATCACAAGGAATATGGAGAAGTAGCTGATCCAGGGGACAACATCCTTCAAGAGGAGGCAGATGAAGAGAAGGAACACATCAACAAGCATTCCACTCAGACCAGCCAACATGAGAGTCTTGCGGCCAAACTTTTCCACCATGACGAGGGAGGCAAATGTCATGAGTACGTTCATCGTACCCATAGCGATGGTGGCATTCAAGGCAGCTTCAGAACTAAGACCGGCAGACTTGTATATGTCAGTTGAGAAGAAGATGACCTGTAAGCAACAAAAGAATTTATTATTATCTTATTTTTTTATCAAGAATTCATTTTAAGTGGATAATTTTTTCTTGTGAGTTTCCCAGATGGTGAAAATAAATTCAACCTGTTGCTGTGCATGTTAATATAACCAATGTAATCACCATACACTCATGGAAAACATATGGAAGCAAGTCCTACTGCCATGATTGAAACAGGCAGTGCCTGATTAACCATGAGGCACTTGAGGCACTGGCCTCAGGCCCCCCGACTCTAAGGGGCCCCCAAATCCAAACATTCTCGAAGTTGAAGCGTATAAAGCATGAACTTCGTTCAACGATGTCCTAGCAGCGTCTCAATTTTCTGTCTCTTATGAACATTGAATGCATTATTTTGCAGAAGCTTAATATTGATGAAATCATTGATAAATTTGGGTATATTTTGTTCTTGCTATATATATATATATACCTTGAGGGTAGGGGGCCCCAAGTTGATCTGTGCCTCAGGCCCCTATTAAGCTTAATCTGGCCCTGTAAACAGGAACAATGCAAACAGCACATATGTTGTAACATCTTCATAGAGGGTTAAAGCTCTTAAGTACATACAGTACATGGATATATTTTTATCCCAGACTTTAAAGTTTAATGCAGGGGGATATAGTTGTTTTTGATGCCGGTGCCTAATTGTTGTATTGTAATTAAATTCTCTTCAACAGTTCAAAAGTTACAGTGAGGCATGAAATTCTATTGAAAATTACCAGTGTACCAATTCTACAAAAGTTTAATGATAAACAGACAGATGGCAGTGACGTTTAATGTATCTCCCTTGAAGGGGGCGATGAAAAGATAATTTTACTTACAGCATTAATTCCAGACAACTGCTGGGCGATCATCATCATCATGGAGATTACAAGAGGGATGCGGAGGGTTGGGTTGGTCAGAATTTCACGCAAGGACACAGATGGCACCAGTTTGGAGGCTTCTGCCTCGTTGCGCATCTCTCCCATCTCGTCTTGTACATTTGTGGTGTCCCGGAGCCATGTCAGTGCTGAGGAAACAAGATAATTAACTTGTGCCTCGGTACAATACTGACATTGGTTTTTATGAACTGAGTTTTACGGAATACAATAGCTCTCACTCCTTACCAATAGTGAGGAGGCAAATCACATGTCCCAACAGAAAGAAGAAACATCATTAACTGAGAACAAGTGTAAAAAAGACCTGGGTGTACATGTTGACAACTAACTGAAGCTCTTGGATCATTGTGAAAAGAATGTGAATCAAGCAACAAAGCTGATAGGTCTTACAAGAAGGTCATTCAGATACCTAGACGATCCCTAGCTTATGCTAGAGGCAGGCAATGGGTGACTTAATAGAGGTCTATAAATACCTCAAGAGAACATTACTCAGTCGAGTGTCAGGGCAAACTCTTTTTGAGTGAGAGTTGTCAACTTCTGGAATAATCTGCCAGAAAGTGTGAACTCGATCAAGACCAAACTTGACCAACATTGGTGCCGGTTCGGATACATTCTGGAGCCATTACAGTACGTGACAGATATGTTACCAAGTGGCTAACAGGCCGATCAGGGCGAAAGAGCATGAAGTAGAATGTGGCCTGAGGGCCCATTAGGTAGGCCATGTAGATTTTTTTTTGGTACACAAGGCAGGAACATGGCAAGTCCTGCACTTGAACACCCCCATTTTTTTCCAACTGGATGAATTTGTGGTGCCCTGTGGTGTAGAAGACACAACAAAAACACCCGAAGTTAAAGAGCTGTATGACTCAGTGTCAAGGAATAATCCAAGAAAACCAGACAACTGCACTGGCTAAACAGTCACCACTAAGGGACACATGTGTCTTACTATCTAACAGAGTAACCAGTACTACAGCTGCTGCTTGACTTACTACTGAGTTAGGGACCCAAATCCATGTCGTAAGTCGCAAATGCTTAAATAATACATAGAAAATCTAAAATGGGTGTCTCTTTTTCATCTCAGCACCACAAAACTCTCACTTTTAAGCTTGCCAGCTAATTTAAAGTGAATTACAAATGAAAATTTTGTCAGTACACAGCGCAATCACTAACGTTGGGACTCGAAGATACGTAATTTGACAAAATTCTCGTACGACTGAGGTGGTCGTATGTCCGGGTGGTCATAAGTCGAGGAGTACCTGTATACTGTATAAGACAACTTGCATAATGTAGATAATATTGGTAATAAACAGTATGATAGATGAAGAAATGTATAAAGTTTTTAAAAATGTGTTTAACTCACCCCTCTGAGCAGTTACAGGTTCATCTTTGGTGATTAGGAGGAACTTTGGTGATTCTGGGCAAACTGGCAATGCTGCCAACTGAAAGATGGCTGGCAGGCCAGTGAGAGCCAGTAAGATGGGCCATAGGTCGTCTGTGCCCAAGATGGTGTCCAAACCCATGATCTGTGAGAACTAACAACCAACACTGGTTCAGTATGGTGTACAGGTATATTGAAAACTATCAAGATTTTAGACAGATGCTATTTTTTAACTTGCATATTAATTCTCTTAACTACAGAACAGTACAATTTCCACCATCTAAACTATTACTGTATAATGTAAATAAAATAAGCATTTAACAGTACTTGTACTGTAATATACGGTAATGCAAAGAAATTATCAATAACTGTTACGTGTGTACAGTATTTAAAATTTTCAGTTATTATAGAAATAAGTTGACAAATGGCCAAAAAACATAATGTTCTTCATTTCATAAACTATGAATTCATAGCAGAACATTTAACAATACTGTACAATATAGTACTCACCAAAATAGAAATAGTGAGGACCAGCTGGTAAGCTGTACCTATTGCCCCTCTCAGGTTGACTGGAGCAATTTCAGACAAGTACATAGGACAGAGGCCAGCGTTAAGACCATTGTTGATGCCAATCACAAAGCGGCCAATTATAAGCATCTCGTAAGAGTTGGCCATTTTGCTGAACCCAAACAGCACGGCTGCCACGAGAGCAAAGATGTTGTTCAAGAGGAGGCCTCCCTTACGGCCAAACCTACCGATAAAAAATAACAATTAACAATATTTATATGTGAAATTTTACCATGAAACATCAGAATAAGAATTAATTGTGAACATTATGCCTGACTCCTTTAGGTCATGATAATTATTAGCCATAAGGGTGAACACAAAATGTGAATACTGTAATTCATAAGAGAAGTACTGTACTGGTAATTTAAGCACTTTACTGCACATCCGGTAAATTTCTTATAATTTTGATAATTAAATTTCACTATTTACATTAATGGCGATAAGTAAACTTAATACTTTTGCGGCGCCACTCTCCCAGTTTTTACCTCGACTTGAAAATTTTCTATTGTTTCTCTCACAAGTTGTCATCTTCCCTAGAACGTACAGTATCGTTCACACCAAACGCAATGAAGATCCATAGTCAATATTGAAGACAGTTATATAAAATAAAATATTGAACCAAGTAAAATAACTAAATTTTACTTTAAAATTATTCAGCACCACATTTTTAATAAAATTTCTCAACTTTACATTAGGAGCGCCTGGGTTTACAGTTCATGAACGAAGAAAGATGCGTACTGATTCTTTATGCATGTGACGGGGTGCAATGAGAAAAGTAACAATCCTTAGGGAAAATGGCCCAAACAGGGTCGTGTGAAGCTGCCTTTAACCCTTTGAGGACAATACTTTAACCATTTGAGGACAATGCTTAACCATTTGAGGACAATAATTTAACCATTTAAGGACAAAAGATTAACCCTTTGAGGATGATGGTTAAATCCTTTCAGTGGTGATGATATAAAGGAACACCTGAAGATTAGCCTTCCAGGCTATTTCACAATATAATATTAACACTAATCTAACTTAAGCCCCACAGGTAATGTCCCGTGGTCATCAGGTGAAATAAGCTGGGGGTTAATATACAAGTACTGTACTGTACTTTCCTTTTCTATCTTTACTATGATATGACCACTTGTAGTACAGTGTACTTTACAATTGTTATTTAACTGATTTGACCAAGGATAGTCGACAAAGCCACGAGATGCTTATTTCCAGTAAGGTCCTTATGCCAACAGATGGTTACCCATCATTAATAAGCTTCACATAAAGTATTACTTGTTATAGTCATCAATAAATTATAAATCTTATTCTTGTAAATTCATTATTACTGCACTATTTAATAGCAAGCCTAAGCAGACGAACCTACTGATGGTTTTGTTGGCTATCCTTGGCCGAATTACCTTACTGTTTATTATTGTTTGTATTCCTGCTTTAAGTACAGTACATTATACATTGGAAATTATATGCCGGCATTGTTTGTATGCATGCTTTGCTGAATACTGTACTGTATTGTCTATATGTGGAGTACAGTATATATACTACCTATATATACATGCTGAGCTGTATACCTGCATTGTATATACTATACTGTATACTGTATATATATATATATATACACAATCAACACCTCAACCCGCCAGGATTCGAACCCACGGCCCACGAGCCCATGACGAGCATTGTCGATATGTATGCTGGTTATATATACTCTACATACTGAACTGTATGCTGTACTTGCATTGTCTTTACAGTACAGTATACAGAGGGTCCCGGGTTAGGAACGGGTTCTGTTCCTGAGGATGTTCTAAGTCGTAACACATACACTATGTGCACTTTATCATAGCCTAAGTCCTTTTATATATCTCAAATCACTTAATTTAAGAGAAAAGAAGAAATTGAATGACAAAATACAGTACAGCATGTAGAGATTGGCATTGTAGGAGTGACGGGCATTATTGGGATGGTTAAACTGAAACTTTATAAAGACTTTTGTCTTAAATCTCTCTCTAGCATTGTAGATATTCAGTAATACCTGTATGAATCTTGGTGAACCTTGTTGTGTTGGTCTCTTGCTGTTTAAATTTTAACAATCCTTATTCAATAAGCCTGAAATCATCTGCCATTTCTTTTGTAATGAAGCCCTTTGGTTCTGGAGTTTCAGCTTCCTCTACATCCTCTGGCAAAATTTGCTTCTCCAGTTCAATCAGGTCCTCATTGCTTAATTCTTCAGCATGAGACTCAAGCAACTGTGTGACATCTTCCTCATAAATATCAAGCTGGAGTTGGTTCCCAAGGTCTACCACTGTCTGTGTTACTTCCCTAACAGTGTTTTTTCCAAACACCATTTGCCCTTACCTTGAACTGGCTAAATCACCCCCTATTAGCAACAAAATCTTCCCCATCACTTTCACCACCACGTTTAGCCTTCAAGTCAGCGTGCAAGCTTTTCACTTTTTCCTGAATGAAGGCTAGACTTAAGGCAAATCCCGTTGATTTTGATCTTACATGCATTTCACTAACAATCTTTCCATTTCATTTAACAATCCACTTCTTTGTTTTGTTATCACAGTTGAGTGCATTGGTGTAGATTTTCTGTTTGTCTTTCAAATTTGTTCAGACTATTGACTGACTGAAGCCTAACACTTTACCAATCAGAACGTTTAATTACATCAACTTTCAGATGCTTAATTACATCAACTTTCACTTCCATTGTAATTGTTTTCCTTTTCTTGGATGCACTTCTATCATTTACACCAGGTTTGTATCTGGGAGCTGTGATGAGGGCAGAAAAAGAGAGTTAATAAACAAAAAACAACAGTTTGCACTTGATCACACACGTTACTGCGGTGAGGGTAAAGTCTACTGATGATCCTTCAAGGCGTGTGGTTGGGTGCGACGCATCACTCCCCATGCGCCGCCTCCCCTCTATGCCACGTAAACTAATTCTCGTATGTAAATACTACGAAAAAATTGTACTTATGTCGGATTCTTAAATCAATTTACCTTATGGGACCTCGTTCGTATCGGCGGACATTCGTAAGTCAGGGACCCCCTGCATTGGGTATATATACATGCTGAGTTGTATGGTGATTTTATTGATTGAATAGCTATCTATTTATCAAATGCAAGTCAAATATATACACAGAAAAAATAACTCACCGCTCAGCAAAGAAGCCCGTGAGAGCACCACCAATCATGCCGCCAACACAGTAGATTGACACCATGATGGAAATTACCATGGTCTGTTCCGTCTCAGTGAAATATTCTCCACTGCGTTCATTGTTGGTCACATTCATCCAATGACGTATGATCTGTGAGGAAGAAAGAGACGTTAACACAAAGAGATAACAAGCTATATGAGGAAGAACAAGATGTTAATACAGAGATAACAAGAAAAAAGAGAAACATCTTCAACTAAGTTTTAAATAAGCCAAATAATTTATAGTCACCCAGTACTGTATATTTTCTTAATTAGTGAATACAGTATAATGGCAGAAAATTAAGTTCCCATAAAAAAGTCATAATAGACAAAATAAATGTTTATAAGACCGTACAACAGTACAGAACATAAAACATCTAAAACTTGACATGCTGTAACAAGAATCGAGGTGTCATTTTTCGATAAACAAGAGCTTCATAATTAATATATTTTCAACGATAGACTAACCTAGTTAATACGGTAAACCCTTGGTAACTCAGAATTTTTTATAATTTGGCACTGCTATACTCTCGGAATTTACTAAAAAATAATTTGGGGAAATGCTGAGTTATATAAAATTACAGTACAGTTGTGATGTGTACAATACTGGAATGTGGCTTCCTTCACCAACTGACACTGCCTCTCTTACAGTTACACATTTTTTTTTACATTTTAAGTATTGGTTCATTTTTCACCAGACCACCCCCCAATTATTTTCTTTCTGTCTGTCTTGCTTGTCCGGGTTATATTTTAACCATTTTTAGAGTCAGGAGAAGAAGTTTGGACTCAATAGTGACAAAGTGCTTTGGCAAAAATGGATGTATAGATATTATTCCTATTTTCTTGATGGCATGGCATGGGTGGGTGTAGCCGTTCAGAAAACTATCTTACAAAACTATGTTAAACAATAATTATGAGCTAATGGACAAAGGATTTTGACAACCCTACCGAGATAACCAGAGTCACAGTGTTTATTTTTGTTTTAATTCATCGCACTCCTCCGTACATATAATTTTTTGATCGACTGTACAGTATATTGAATGTACAGTATCACTACTGTACGTACGTGTTTGTTTTTGTGGTTTTGTTCCAACAAAAATGACTTTGCTGAACTTGTATGCTGTAACATCACAGATTCAGTTCTTTTTAAGCAAGTGCAGGTAATTATTAAGGATAATTCTTTTTAGATACTTGTTGTAGGCGTGACAAGTATAATCTTAACCTGGCAACACAAGAGTGCTGTGTGGAGGTACAGTACTAGACTGTGTAATATCAGATTCCTTCTTCCTATTATCTGGCATGATACACTGAACAGTATTGTACATGTACTGTATAAAAAGATGGTTATACACTGCACCAAATTGTTAATACAAATATACAATTACGTACTGTACTGTACGGCTATATTCTTAACAATTTATTGTTTTAATATTCACCCAAACTTGACAAACTTAAAATGTACTCAGAATCATTTATTCAGTATCATAGTACTGTACAGTATAATGTTTGCCACATACTATTTCAAGTTATACTGTCTGTCCAATATACAGGGTGATGGAGAATTCCATGTGCACCTGCAATAATTACCAGTATTGCATACAGTATATAGTGTTGTTACTGCACCTTGTTATACCTACAAAAAATACCTTGTTCCACTCACAGTCAATATACCCTGTACAGTATATACTGGAAATGGTATCCACTTCCACCATGTACTGTGACCATATCCAATACTGTAAGCAGAAGAGGTAAACACCTGTAAATGCATTTTTTATTATTGTATGTACACAGGGGCTAGTCGATCATCCTGTACCGTACAGTATATGGATCAAGATGTACGTTACTTGTTGTGAGGTGATTTGTGTCCGATCAAACTGAAAATGATCACTATTTCTTGCTGTACTTGATATTCAGTTAATCTGTGCAAGAGTTCTGTAGTTCCAATTCTGGGCATTGCATGTCTAGACCATACATGTTCCATTGGCCAAATACTTTACAGTATGCCGAGTGACAAAAACGGTGATGTTGGCCACACTTGCTAACTCCAGTACATTTATTAGTGTAATACCTCTGTCTAACTTGTTGAACACTGAAGCTAATGCTTTCTCTCTGTGGGCAAACATCACAGAAAAGAACTAAAAACTGTAAGAAAAGTGTGGCTCCGACTTTACCCTCCTCAAGACGATAGCGAGTGTGGTTAGTGCCGTACATGTGACTCGCCACTCTTGGCTACAAGTTTGCCCTTGAAGTATTTATAGATTAAGACTTTCCATCTTCCCTTTCTCACTACATTTTGACACTCATCATGTTTTTGGGGGATGTAATCTTACTTTAATCTTTCCTCTTTGCCAATGATTAGCCTGTTAGCCTTTTGGGTGGTCAGTCACTTCTCTGTTACATACTGTTGGCATGTACAGGCAATGTACTGGTTCCAGAATGTATCTGTATTCGTGCCAGTGCTGTTCTAGTCTGGTCTTCAATGAATTCATACTTTGTGCCATCATGACACTCTCTAGCAGGTCATTCTAATAGTTCAATCTTACGCCCATAAAGTTTGTTCCGACAACTTTCTGAACATGTGGCTTCTTTAACCTATAATAAGGCTGTGACCTCTAATGGGACAACCATATCATACTGTACTGCACTGTACCACACCATACTGTACTGTACTATACTGTACACTCACCAGACAAGCACGAGTTTACACTTTTTTTTTAATTTAATTATTGATGAAGTCCAAGTAAGTTAGTTCTAACGACAATGATCTCTCAATATGGAGTGATACAATTAATCCTTAAGCATTTAAGAAAAGTACTATTTACTAAAACAATAATTGTAACTGCAAACAGTTTGATGAAACAAAATAAAAAATATATCTAGCTATACACTTTTGCACAAAACAGTACAGTACTGTACAGGCATTAACTATTCTCCTCAGCTGGGTTTCTTGTGGTGGCTAACCTGAGGGAGTCTGCCAGGCTTGCCAAATCCTCTGCATCTTAAAAGTCCAGTAAGGTTATGTAATCTGATGTCAGTTACTTTGGCTTCTCAACTCTGCCAAGCGTTTCAAAGTTCGCTAAATTTCTCTCTTCTGTCCGTACAGTACAGGTACATTATATGCAAGTTAATAACCCAGAAATAAACTTGTTTTACTGGACCAAAACTACAGTATACTTAATCGGAAGACTCAGCGTGTAAACCTATGGTACTGTATTGTACTAGACTAGATTAAACTGTAGATGGAAACCTTGACTAAGAAGGTTATATGGCATTATGGGTGGATCATGTTTCAGCCTAAGGCAATATAGTCTTAGTCTATATGATGTATTTATTTTTGTTTCAGCTAATTAGTACATTTAAGATTTAATTGTCAGATCACATTACCTGTTCATGGAGAACTTTTCAGATGTATGGACTCACCTCAACTAACAGAACTAATTATCAACACATTACTGTACCCCCATAACATATAATAATTCCTACAACTTATTGCAATACAACAGAGGTCGGGGAACGGGTAAATTACCCCAAATGGGGTAAATCTAAAAATTTTGGGAGTAATGCATGCAGTATGAGAGACACTTCCATACCATATCCAACAATTTTAGGAGCAAATTGGCTTGTTTTTGTTTACTGTACTAGTGTACTTTGAAGTCTGGGGGTAATTTCATTTTACTCAAAACATTTTTGGGTAATACCCAAAAAAGTTCCCCGACCCTTGCAATACTACAGGGTGTTCTTAATATTCATGACTGCAGTACAGTATTCTGTTCATGATAACTTGGCTTATTATTGCATCTGTTACTTTTGTAGATCTTCCCTACCCATAATATTTATGTAGCATTAGTAGTTGAAGCAGAGGCAAAGTGTAGAATTACTTAGTTCATAGTGTGCAGTAGTAGGTGGGGTGATAGGGGTAGTTACTGTTGGCTGTGAGTAGTAGTAGTAGGTGGGTTGGGGTGATGGTGGTTGTGCAGGTTTTGGTGAGTGTGTTTAGTTTTTCTTGGCAGAAGAATGTTGCGTGTGAATAATTGACAAAAATATAACCATTAAAATCATTTAACAAAATTGGTACCCTGTACTCACATTTAACGGAGCATTGATCACTCCAAGGTTGAAGCCATGTTGGAAGGCTGAGCCAAAGGCAGCAGCCGAGATGGCAAACGCCAGCCGAGCATTGAGTCCCTGCAGAGAAAGAAACAGAATTAATTTGTTGTGCATTTCTGATCAGACTCATTATTAAAATGAATTATAAAGATTTATTGAGTACTGTACTGTATACCATTGAAGCAATATTACGGTATCACCTAAGAACTGTACAAATTTCTGCCACATTGCATAATTATAATCATCTATCTTTCTAAAGCTAGATAAGTCAATCAATAACTCGATTCATATTATGCTAGTGGTATATAAATAAATTAGTACGTTAAGAAAATGAGTTATAAAACAATATTTTTTTATTGTTTAACTTCAACCATTCTTGATAAAACACAAATGTAAATATTGCCAAAATGTTTCATGTTGTCTACTTACACTAAAATTATTATTTACACGCAGCCAGTATTGTACAGTATCCTGTATATACCTTAACCAGTCAGCTGAAAATCTAATTTTGCCACACACACACACATTCATAAACCGTTCATTATTATTATTATTACAATACAGGTGTACATCCAAAAGGTATAGTGTAACTTATTTGAAAATATGTAGAAATAGCCCCATGACGCTGGCAGATCTTGAAGGCTAACAAGGTAGAATAATGTGGTTGACCTTGGTGTAACAGTTAGTGGTCAGGGTTCAGTTGCTTATTTCATACTGCCAACGCTGTACACAATGATACTACCACTACTGCCAACACTATACACAATCATACTACCATCACTGCCAACACTTATACAACCATACGACTACTATTACCAACACTATACTGTACAACCATACTACTACTATTACCAACACTATACTGTACAACCATACTACTACTATTACCAACACTATACTGTACAATCATACTACTACCATCACCAACACTATACTGTACAACCATACTACTACTATTACCAACACTATACTGTACAACCATACTACTACTATTACCAACACTATACTGTACAACCATACTGTTACCAACACATGTCTTGGCTGTACAGAGTCAATTACCCCCTTGTAAATGATAGTTGGTCTTCCTTATTGAGATACATAGGGTGCATTAGTGGAGATAGTCTACTAAGTGCCCGGGGTCTCCTCTCAGCTGAATAAAATCGTCTGTCGTAAGCCAAATAAATATTAAAAGTGGGGAGCATATTGGGGAATGTCAATATAACCAGTTTGGTTGAAAAGGATTCGATCCCAATTTATCAAGATGTGTTCAAACCTTCGAAGTTGAAAGTTGCTCAGTTTTTAAATGAGATTAACCCTAGACAGGTGTTCCCCTGGACATACCCTTTTCAAGGTGGACCAGGATGTACACCACCCCATGTCAAAAAAAAATCAACAACAACATTTAGAGACAATAGATCCAGTCTGTGTATGCCAACTTATAGATTAGCCTTTTCTGCAGGTCTTTCATACCTCAAACATCAACAGTTATGTTACACGGTACTGTATACATTTATGTAAAATTAATTTTTTGAAAAAGATCATTAATCATATATAACAATGAAACCTCTATATAATGTACTTCTCTCCATATAATTTGTTAGATATACTGTAATGGACTTTCTTCTCTCTAAAGTTCGTTAGATGGAGGTTTCATATCTTACAGTCCCTCGATATAACGGACTTTCATCTCTATATACAGTAGCTCATTAGATGGAGGTTTCACATCTTACAGTCCCTCGATATAATGAATTTTCATCTCTATATACGTACAGTAGTTCGTTAGATGGAAGTTTCACATCTTACAGTCCCTCGATATAATGGACTTTCATCTCTATATAGTCAGTTAATTAGAGGTTTCACTGCAATAAAAAAGACCTCAAGCTTGTCTTGTTGCTGCATGGAGCACCTCAAATACTCCTACTACTGACCACTTTTTTTTTTTTTTTAAACCCAGAATAGCCCACCCGGGCACAGGTCATCGATCCACAAAGGGGCCTAGAGGGCGAAAAAAATAGGAGTACTGTAGAAAGAAATTAAAAATAGAAAAGGAAAAGGTTATATTAATCTACACCACGAAGATGCCGGAAAACTAGCCTTTTAAAGTGAGACTGATTGTATGAGTATGGAAACAGAAGAAGGCAGAGCGTTCCACAGTTTGGCTGTGTGAGGAAAGGAGGTACTATAACGGGTTATTCTAGTGTGACCGACATCCACAGAGAAACGGTGGGCACCGCGGGCAAGATGTGTGTTACGAGCCCAGGGCCTTGCCGGCGGTACACAGGATGCCAAATCCACCGAACATTGCCCGTTAAAGTACCTGTAAAAGAGAGAGAGAGTGAAGCAAAATTGCGGCGATGAAAAAGGGAAGAAATATTGTCAACTAAAGGAGGAGAGTTAATATGACAAAATGCTTTTGATTCCACCCTATCTAACAGTTGGACAGAAGAAGAGCCACCCCGAATATGAGAGCAGTACTTCAAGTTGGGACGAATGAATCCCTTATTTACTTGAAGCAACTGCTCAGAGTGAAGTAGCTACGGCATCTGTACAGCATTCCCAGCTTTCGGGTGGCAGCTTTAGCATGTTGAGGATGTGTGGTTTTCATGACATATTAGAGAAAATGGTGAGGCCTAGCATATCTATTTTAGAATTTGGCAGAATGATAGTGTCCTGAAATGTGATTGGTGGGAGGTCATCTAATTTGGAAAGTGTAATTGGTAAATACGTACTGAATTTTATTACTATTGAACTTAACCAAGTTTCTACCTCTCCATTTGGAGATGCTGCACAGATCTGTATTGATAGATGTAATGATATAAGCTCTAAAAACAGATCTAGTTTGACAGTTAGGAGGAAGGGTAAAATGTGAAGAAGAGTGAAGAGTAGAATCATCAGCATAAGAATGGATAGAATTAGTTGTAGTGTGAAATAAATCATTGATAAATGAACGCTGTGGGTCACCACTATTGGTAGAGAAAGAGCGAGAGATTGATTCCTCGACAGCAACTGCCATGGATCGATTCTCAAGGAAGCTAGAGATTAGAGAACAAGTGGAGGAGAGAAACCATAAGAGGGAAGTTTAGAAAGCAAAGACCTGTGCCATACCCTGTCAAATGCTTTGGAGACGTCGAGGGCCACGACGAAAGTTTCCCCATAAACCTTAAGAGAGGATGACCAAAGATGGGTACAGTAGGATAGCAGATCACCAGTAGTTCTCGCCTGGCAAAAGCCGTACTGGTGATACGATATAAGAGAATGGCGTTCAAGGTGACGGGGAAAAGGAAATTCAAGATTGTTTCAAAAATTTTAGAGAGGGATGAAGTTAGGGCAATGGGGCGATAGTTAGAGGGATTAGAATGGTCACCCTTCTTCGGGTTGGACTGAGCCAAGGCATGCTTCCAAGAAGAAGGAAAAGTTTGGCTTTGAGGCAAAGGTGAAAGAGGCAAGCCAGCACAGGGGCCAGAACTTCAGAACACGAGGGGGTATTCCGTCCGGTCCATGCGCCTTACTCACATCCAACCTGGATAACACACCAGCAACCCTACGAGTGGAGATTATAGGAAAGTGCATAGGTTCAGTAGGAGGTGCAGGGATACAGTTGGAATCGTTTTAGGTTGAGTTAGAGGAGAATAAGGTGCCAAAAAGATTGGCTTTATCAATGGGAGAGTTAGTGATAGAGTTATCAGATCAAAAGAGAGGAGGAAAAGAGGGAGTGCAGAAGTTATTACAGATGTTTTTGGTTAAGGACCAGAAGGATTTACTAGAGGAAGAATTAGTCAGGATAGTGGTCTTTCTTTTTAAAGATTTCCGCTTGGCCCTATGAAGAATAGCCTTACAACGATTCCTAGAAGCAATGAAAGAGGAGTGGGTAATAGGAGGAGATAGTTTCATAGCTTGATATGCCCTATCTCTCTCCCTGCATGCAAGAGAGCAGGAGCGATCAAACCATGATTGTTAAGTGAAAGTTTTGGTAGCATATGGGATAAATGCACTCATACCACTCTGTATAACCCCAGCAATGCTGTCAGCACATACCGAGGCATTCCGAGTGGATAAGCAACATTCATCCAAAGGAAAGTCGGCGAAGAATTCTCGCAAGGATTGCCAGTTTGCCCTCCAATAGTGTCATAGTTGATGTTTAGAGGGGAGCGGTGGAGGTGGTCGTGCCCAGTTTGATTTAATAAAAATAAGATTGTGATCAGAAGACCTTAAGGGAGCAGAAATTGAGTATGAATAGAGTGAGGGGTTAGAGGTAAAACAAAGATCAAGAATGTTAGTAAGATGATTGTGTCGATCAGGAATGTGTGTAGGGTGTTTGATTATTTGTTCCAAATCATTAAGTAAAGAAAAAGAGAGTGCCTCAGCTTCACCTGGGTCATCCCTTGCAGAGCTAAGCCACTCTCTGTGATGTACATTGAAATCCCCTAGGTAGAGAATCTTGGTGTTGGGGTGTGTGGATAGTAACGACTCAGGGCAAGAAGTGAGATAGTCAAAGAGTTCCAAATAGTTGGTAGAGTTGGGAGAACAGTATAGGAAACAAAGAAAAATAGTCAATTGGTAGAGATATTTTGAGCCAGATGACATCATAAAGGGAAGATTCAAAATCCGTGAGTCGAGCTACAGGTGTACGTGTGTTGTAGTAGGCACATACACCTCCCTTAGAACGGAAAGAGGTATAAAGGCTGTAGATGGAGACTTGAAAAGGTTTGGGTGAAGCTACTTTGGTCAGTTGATGTTTGGAAAGTAGTAAGAGATCGGGGGAAGAGGTTAATAGATGTGCTCCACAGAAGGAAATTGTATCTCGGGCCTCGAATGTTGGAAAAATTAAATGTGAAAAAAGCCGATCCTCCAGCAACAGCAGTGGCGTCAGTTTAGGCCCCAGTAGTTAATTAATGATCAGAGGGTCCACAACCTTCCCGACCAGTGTGGCCCATCCGAGAAGGCCCCGCTTCAGTATTAATATCAACTGACATAGGAAAATAAAATAAAATGAATAGAACAGATCAAGAATGAGTACGGTTATATTTGTTGTGATGTCAATAGTAAGGGAGACAATTGAGACCCTGTAATTGTGTATA